CCAATGGATGACCATTGATCATGATAGCCAGGCTTAGCTAAGTGCATCCCCCTTTGGGAGCTGTCCTTGGACCTTAAATCACCTTGCATGAATGGTTTCTCTGTGTCTGGACCCTAGAGATGAACAGAGAAATGAGGCCTAATTTGGGAAAGCTCAGAAACACTTAATTCTGCCTTATTAATAAGCCTCGCCGCTACAGTCTTAAGTTTAAAAGAATCCTTATTCTAGGGGTTTTTAATATACACATTGACTCAAGGTCTTGTAGTCTGGCTAAAGACTTCATTTCTTTATTGGGATGCTTTGATCTTACTCAGTTTGTCTTTACCCCTTTACACATAACAAAGGACACACCCTAGATGTATTCATTGCCAATTATTCTTTTGTCTCCCACTGCTCTTCCCTTGATCTAAGCCTCTCTGACCAGCTATTCTTTTCAATCTGGAATTACCTGTTTCTAACACTTCACCCTCATGCTCTGTAAATTTCTGCAACTGGCGATCAATTGATCACCCAAGGTTTGCAAACTCTGTTTTGTCCTCCTTGTCTTGTTTCTCTACCTCTGACCCTCTAGAGGACAAAATACAGTTACTTGATAGTGCTCTTTTATCTACCCTCGACACCTTTGCTCCTTTAAAAACTCAAAACATGTCATTCTCTCGTCCTGGCCCCTGGTACAATGACCATCTGCGGTCTATGAAGGTAGCCTCCTGCAAACTTGAGTGTAGGTGGTGTCTTTCTGGCCTAAATGTACATTATCAGGCTTGGAGAGATTACTTGTTTGAATATAAGGTTACAATAGAGTCTTCTAGATCCAACTACTTCTCTCACACCATTAAAAATCACCATAACACCCCCAGACATCTTTTCTCCACCATCAACAGCTTGCTAAAGCCAAAGTGCCCCACCAAATTACCTGCCTCATCGCAACTGTGCAACACATTCTTAGATTTCTTTAGCTCCAAGATCAACAACATCCGGCATCACATTCTCTCCACTACGCATATCATTTCCGTACCTCCTTATCAAAGATTTCTGGTTCCCTTCTCTCCAGCTTCTCTCTTCTTGACACAGCATCCCTCAATAAACTAGTTAAACACATGAAACCCTCCACATCTACTTTAGATCCCATTCCCACCACTTTATTCCAGTCCTGTTTCTCTTCTCTCTGTCCCATTGTCCTCAATATTATAAATGAATCCTTGAGCACTGGCAAGTGCCAAGAAAACCTAACATGGCTCTTAACAATCTTAACAATTTTTGCCCCATCTCCAACTTACCCTTTCTTGCAAAAATTCTAGAACGTGTTGTCACATTTCAGTTACATAACCACCTCATGACAAATAATAATTTCACACCACTCCAATCTGGCTTCCATCAACTTCACAGCACAGAAACTGCCCTGATCAAAGTCACTAACGATCTTCTAATACCTTCTGATTCTGGTTCTCTTTCTATACTCATCCTTCTTGATCTCAGTGCTACTTTTGACACTGTTGACCATGACATCTTACTTTCTCGTCTCGTTTCTCATTTCTGTTTGGAGTTTCTGACACTGCTCTCAAATGGTTCAAGTCTTATCTCACTGATCACTGTCACTTTGTCTCTTAATAGGTCTGACATTGGTCTTGTTAAGTCTGGTGTTCCTCAGGGCTCAATACTGGCTCAATACTGGGCCCCTTGCTCTTCAGCATTTATATGTTTCCACTTGGTCAGCTTTTAAGATCACATGGCCTCAGCTGATGATACTCAAATATACATCCATCCCAAACCTGACACTGATGTGGCTGTCTCTATTCTATCTAATTCCATCTCTGACATTAAAACTTGGATGACTCAAAATGTCCTTCATCTTAACTGTGACAAGACTGTGAAGAGTCATGCTTATTGGCACCCCCCATCAACTTCGTAAAGCCAGTCCTGTAACCCTATCTGTAGATGGTTCTGCACTTGAGCTTCAGTTTAAATTGAAAAACCTTGGGGTGATGTTCGGTTCTGGCTTAACTTTCGACCCACATGTGCAGCATATTGTCAAAATATTGTCTTTTTTTTCCACCTCAGAAATATTGCTAGACTACGCCCTATGCTATCACTAACTGGCTGAAAAGCTGATCAACACATCTGTGTTCTCTCGAATTGACTACTGTAATGATCTACTCATTGGAGTATCTACAGCTACTTTGAACAAACTGCAGTATGTCCAAAATTCAGCAGGCAGGATCCTGACCAGGTCTAGTGCAAGTGATCACATTACTCCTATCCTGGAGTCCGTGCTCTGGCTTCCTGTCAAATTCCGTGTGGACTTTAAAATCGTCATGCCAACCTACAAGGCTTTGCATGGCTTGGCACCTCAGTACCTGTCTGAACTATTATCGCCTTACTCCCCACCTCACAACCTTCTAGTTCTGGTCTCCTAACTGTCACCCAAGCCCGTCTATATTGCATGGGTGCCATGGCCTTCTCCTGTTATGCCCCCAAGCTCTGGAACTCTCTGCCCAAGGATATCAGAGAGTCACCTTCTCTAAACTCCTTCAAATCCAGACTCAAAACCTTCTTCTTTAGAAGAGCCTTTACTTAACTGGTTCCATTCTTCACCCCTCTGCTTTTCCTAGTACCACCGTCCACGGTCTCCTCTGTATATTGTAGTTGTGTTTTATCTTGTGTTTTCTTTTTGTTTATTGTTGTTCTCATTCTGTAAAGCACTTTGAGAAGCCACCTATATAGGCACTATATAAAATAAAGTTTATTATTATTATTATTATTATTATTATTATTATAAATCTGTTGCCAATGTTTCAACATTGTTAGCGGTTGAATATTGATGAGGTCCTACATTCAGAAAGTTATTAATAATACACCTGATGCTGTAGGATTCTAGGATTTCTATTTTCATGGCAGGTTCCCTTCTTTTTAACTACCAGGCTTGTTACAAAAGATGTCCAGAGCTTCCTCAAAGACTCAATTACCACATGGGAAATTACAGCTATCAGTCTGTCTCCAGAGAAGGGTAAGGTCTTTTGTATCTTCTGTAAGTCAGTTCCCAAAGACATCACTTTCAAGCTAATTTATCTGTGTTGTACTGAACAAGTGAATTCTTGCTTAACAGTTCTTTTATTTATTTTTTTAAATTCTTACCATAATGAACAATAATGGACCTACAAGCTCTAAAAAAACAAAAAGTTAAAGTGCTAATAACAACAATGTGCAAACATTCAAATTGCATATTTTACTGTTCTAATGTTATTTAAAAGTTATGTGAGTGACTGGCAGTACAAAAAAGTAAAATCAATGCAGAATTTTGTTTTTAAATTATCACTCAAATGTTTAGACTATCCATGACATTCAACATCATTGTACTAACAGAGGAATTTATTATTTTGATGTGAGTAGGTATCTGCGTGGCTGAACCCTATGAGATTACAGTGTTGAAGGATTTCTTTATTGACCTGAAGCTGCCTTACTCTGTAGTGCGAAATGAACAAGTGGAGATCAAGGCTGTGTTGTACAACTATGAAAATGTGAAAAGACAAGTAAGTTCATGTTTGACACTTTATATATACTGTTTGCAAATATACAGAATTTGAAGTAATTCTGCAAACAGAGACAAACCATGATATAAAATACAAATTACTTGTGGTAGTGTTACATCTGTTGTCTATAAAATGAACTGCACTATTAAGTGTAAAGTCAAGATTTAAAATAATATGCTGCATTTGACTGCTGAACATGTTCCTCACACTTATAAGGAGATCATAATTTATAATGGTGATACCACTATTGCATCACAAGTGCCATTTAAGTTTCCTATGAAGGACATTTCAAGTAAAAAATCTTCATAAAAGCTCATTAGTACATAATACTTAAATGGGTTACATTGCTACATGATGATCAATAATCCAGTAGAGATTCTTTTAACAAACTTTCTTCAAGCACATGTGCTTAATTCATTTCTAAAAGAGCAAGATGAATGAAATGACAAATAATTAATGACAATGAGTAAAATTTAAACTTGTCCCCTGAAACAACTGAGCTAAACTGTATGTAATTAAATATGTATGTCAAACAATGTAGTTTATGTAATATGGAGCTTTATTCTGGAATGGATGGTACCTGTATAAACAGGAGGTGGGGGTGGAGTGGGTATTGCAGTAATACCAGAGTCAGGACACACAGTGTTGATTTAGTGGCTTTCACTAAGGCTTTCAGAATGCACTCAGAAGAATCTTAAGGAGAGAGAGAGGATCTGGACTCATCCAAAGATAGTCTGATTCCTTAAGATCTCCCAGTTCCTTTTGGTAGAAACAAATATACTACAATTTCAATCCCAATACAACTTTTTCCTGTATCACATTTCCTGTATCACAAGTGAGTGGATTAACATCCATATAGAATTTTCATGTTCTTAATATAGATTTTCCTTTTATTAGCATCAGGTTATTCACTTACTTTTTCATGGAATTATTTGTCAAGAGCTCATAACGTACATCTTGGCTTTCCAACCTGTTCAGAGCCACACCTCCCTTCTCTTTTCTACATGACACTCTGAAAGATTTAAGAACTGAAAACCATTTTAACAACAGAAAAAAAAATAATAATTTAATTTTTGAACTGCTCAAAGACATTGACAAAGTCACTCTAGTGGATGTTTTCAGAATCAGGCATGAGACATAGAGAAGATAGTAAAAACTATCTTGAAGTGCATTTAAAACCAAGAATAGCAGGGACCTCTGAACCAAGCCATGATGTCAAATCTCAAACCTTATCTTGTTACAAAAAACTGCTAAATGATATATTCATATTATTTAGCTATTAGCAAACCAAATGAGCTAAATTGGATTAAGGGACTTGTTAGTTAATTGTTATGTTCTTATGCAACTAACCTTTAATAGTAAAGAGCTCAAAACTGTGGAAAAGGTACAGTATACAATTGTCACCTTAAACTTTCATTGAGATCATCTTAACCCTAATTCCACCTGTAAAGTTCTGTTAAAGAGAATATTGATGGATTGTAGAGCATGAGTACTAGAGCTGGCAACCTGTAGTCAAAAAGATACTTTTTAAATTATAGACAGAACCATTTAGTACATTTAAATGATTAACATTTGGAGAGAGTTAAAAACAATGAAAGAAATGAATAACATCACAGTCTACAAAACTATGCGGATCTGTTTCAGAACATGTTCTTGAAGGTGAAGGATACAATGGGATCCTTTTAAAAATTATTTGATAAGACGTTTGAATCATTGACCTACTGTTCTAGCTGAATGGACTCCTTTTGTTTATATATTTTTTCAGTTCTTCATGTCTAAGTGTGTGCATCAACTAAGTATTTGAAAGTGAGCATCAGTTTTCTTCAGAATTCTCAAGAAAGTAACTCATCACTCATAACTGTATGTCTAAGGTTCGTGTGGAGCTGATGGAGAATGAGCAGATATGCAGCGCAGCCAGTAAGAAGAGAAAACACAGAGTGGAAGTGATGGTAGATCCGTTATCATCTCGAGCCGTGCCCTTTGTCATCATCCCCATGCACACAGGAGAGCTGGATGTCGAAGTTAAAGCTGCAGTATTTGGGTTGTCACTTTCTGACGGTGTAAAGAAACGGCTTCGAGTTGTGGTAAGTAACTGGTGTGAAAAGTAATAGAACATTTGAATATTTTTTAGAGCTGTAATTGTTGTTTTTTTAAGCAATAAAATTAACTTTTAAATTGTACGTAACCAGGGAAAATATGTAGCTACACGTTACATGTACTGTAGTTACATATGTTTTTATATGTTAGTCCTTTGATGCATGATACTTTTATTACTATGTTGCATGTGCATGTTTTGGTAAGATGCAAATAGGACTTCTGACTAGAAAACAATTAACTTTTTTTGCTCCTCTTTGTGGAATTTCAGGTTGACAATTTTAGTACAGAAGAAGACATTATTTGCACTGGGAAAGAAGATTAAAAAAACATTTACATCATAGCATCTGTAAAAATATTATGATAGGTAAAGATATACTGCAGTTTATTTAACAACAAAACAATTTATAATAAATACCTGACATCAGCTGAGAGCCCCATTCTTCAAGTGAGCGAAATGAAAGACTATCTAAAGAAAAATACAAAACATATTTTGATGACAAAAAATAGCCAACCGCTGATACATGCAATGGTTTTGACACAAATGATTGGAGACAAAAGGCCATTTTTTAAATGTTTACTGTTGTGCTAGGTTAGATTGTATCAGTCTAAGAAAATGCAGAGAAATTGGTAACCTTCACATAAAAATGTATAATGGTAATTAAATGGTTATTAAATAAAGTTTGATTATTTGTTTAACATTAAATAAAAATTGTCAAAATTTAGTCTTAAGGCTGATCACTGCAATTAGGTACCATGTATAGAGTCATTTTAGAAAAACTCAAATAAGAAGCCTTTTACTGACAAGCTACAGTATGAAAGCTAATTCTCATAAGATTAATAGAAATCTGTAACTTTTCACGTCCTGGACATGATGAGGATCCTACAATATTATGAAAGTTCTGGCCTTACTCCCCTGCACAGTTCTGAATGGCAGAGGCTCATGCATTGTGATGGGTTTGTTTCCACAGGCAGAGGGTGTGAAAATAAGCAAGACTATAAAAACTGCATTATTGAATCCAGCTGCTCACGGTGAGATTCCTTCTGGAAATGCCTCCTACAGTTTGCTAGGACACAAACAGTACACAATTGCAATGCAATTTTCACTGCAGCTTTATCATAGTTTTTAAAAACTCTTAAAACATCAGTTTTTCTGATGTTTGTAGACTTTTTCCTTTCATCATTTTAAATTACTAATAAAACTACTAAAGGTAAGTAGTGTATTTTTATCCATGATCAACATCCAAAGAGGTTAGGATTTCTGCCTCGCAGCACTGGGTCCAAGGCCAGATCTGGGTTGCTACCTGTGCTGAGTTTTTATGTTCTCTGTGTGCTTGTCTGGGTTTCTGCAGGGTGTTCAGGTTTCATACCACAGTACAAAGCATACTCATTTTTTTATTTTTTTATTTTATTACAATAATACAAAAAAATCCATAATTCTCAAAACTTAAATAACAGAACAAAAAACAAAACCATTACACAGCTTAATCAACAATTTCTCTTCTCAGAGTGACCTTCTTAGCATAGCCCCACCCCTTATGCAAACACAAACCCACCCTCATCACAACTTCTCCCCTCAAGCACACAATTCAATAATCAAAATGTTAACTTATACAATAACAACATTATACTAATACCAATTCCCTCCAATTATCAACATAAGCATAACAAATCAGATCCATATCACATCATAGCATTAATCACATCACCCATCTACCCTTTTCTTCTTCTTTTTCTTACAAACCATACTCATAGGTTAATTGACTACTACTAAATTATTTATGGTGTGAGTTTGTGTGTCTATGTTTGAGGTTGTCTGCCCTGTGAAGAACTGGCATCCTGTCCAGGGTATACTCTGCCTTTTGGCTCTGGCTCTCCTTTGACTCTGAATTGGAAAAAGCTGTTAGAATATCCATCTATCTTGTTCGATTGTTGTTGTTGTTGTTGTTGTTTTTTTCTCTCAAGGTTTATGGTACTGAGTCAAAAGTAACATTAAAAGTCTAATTGAAAAACAAATGTACCTGATGCCTGTACAGGTTTAGAATTGTAGTACTGCAGCCATCAACATATGATCACAGATTTAAATATTATCTAAAAGAAATAACATGAGCCAGCTTTTACATGAACACCTCAAATATTGAAACACTGTTCATTTAGTGCTACCACTCCTGTAGGATGGATATTAAATGAGCAAGGTTCATTCAGCATTCCACATTGCTGTCTACTGACTCTGCTGAGACATGCTACAAGGTGCCTTCAAACTAGAAATACAGTAACGTTAGAGTGAGTTACAACAGTAACTCTCCTGTAAGGCACTTTTTTATCCTGGGCGCTTGTCAAAAAATGAATGGCACTGACATATGGGCTTGTCTTAGACTCTTTATTATTTCCATTTTGTAGAGACATTGCATCTGTAAAGCCAGGATGCAAATGATTGATGAGAAAGACAGGTCCAACCTGAGGGCAATAAAACTAAAAATAGGCAATTCAATATTTAAAGTAATTCAAAATTTTAACTACATCATGATTGTAGAGTTTCGCTACTATATTGCAACATTCACTGATATACGTAATTCAGAAATGGAAACATTCTGAATCAAAAGTTTAGAGTTTTTAGAGCCTAGCCAGTTTTGTTCTTTTTGGGCTTTTCTTTAAGGTTTTGTTGAGCTTTGCTTCTCACTACTTTTACCGGCAATTCAAGCAAAAAGATAACCTGAATTCTCAGAGGTAATTAAAAAGGAAGTGTTCTGAGAATTACTATCTATAAGCATCATAAAATTCCTATATTTATTTTCATTAATTGGTTTCTGATTGGGGACTTACATCCCAGGTTATATCAAGAATTCTAATGACATCAACCAATGGCAAGCTGATTATAGGGTCTTAGGAAAATGCTTTTAAATGAAGCACAGTTTCATAAAATATTTCCACATATAATTATTTTAATGTTTTCCTTGCAGGTGGTTATCAAGCTGAAAGGGTTGAGAATATTTACCCAAAATCCATTGTACCAAACACAGATGCTCATGTTTTCATCACTGTGACAGGTATGAAATAACAGGACTGCGTCTGCTCTTACAAAAACATTAAATATGCATATATAATAAAAAATATAAATGGTATATAATTGCATTATAATTATAATAAGTATAATATTAATATAATTTTCTAGTGAGCATACTACTCAATTAAGATAGTGTTGTAACAGAAAGAATAAGGTTCTGGATCCAGAGATGAAGTAAAACAGATGTGTTTATTGCATGCAAGGAACAATAAAGCCGAAGTCTTGTTTCCCGCAAGAAACAACAAAACCGAAGTATTGTTCGATGTGCTGGTACAAACTTTTAGGTTATGTATTCTTTGCTTGCTGCTTCAGATGTCATTCAGTGTTATGGTAAGGGGAGGGGGTCATGGTATTTGGCCAGTTAAAAGACCCTGGCCAAATGGTCAGTTTAAGATTACGCCCCCAGGGGGTTCCTAGCTCGCATCTGGAATCCTTATCAGTTAACCCCCTTTCCTGCATAAACCCCTGTTGCTTAGAAGTCTAATTTTCAGGAAGAACTGACTTAAGTTAACCCTTTTTACATCTTGTCTCTTTCTTCAATAGATTGTTTTATTGTTCAGCATAGTAATTAATGTACATCTACATACTTTCACCACAAGTTCACTGCATTATGGGTGCAATTACAGTGTTTTCATTTTTATCTGTTGGGCCTGTAAGAGCTCTTCAAGGTAAGGAAGTTAGTAATCAAATGACTCGAGGACCAGCCAGGCTTGTTTTGAAAGAACACAAGAAAGGGTACAATGTAGAGTAGGCTATTCTGCCCAGCTCCCACCTCATCTTATGTGGTTATTGATTGTTTTAAAGAATAAAAGGTCATCCATAACCTTGTAAAAAGGTGACAGTTGCTACATGTCACTTAGGCACTTTCCTGGTTACAAGTTTTAAAAAAAAAAACGTTTTGCTTTTAAATTTATTTAACTTATAAAATCTTTTGAACCAACAAATCAGCATTTTAAAATAGACATCAAGAAACTTTTAATATTTTGCTTGGAGAAAAACTGGTTTAATAGTGTGGTGAGAGTTAAAAGTCTAGGAAAATTAATAGTTTGATCTTACTTTAATGAACAATTAACAAAACTAGCACTTCACTGAAAGGATTATTCATCCGGCTCTGTTTGTATGTATTTACTGTAAATAAATTACAGTGGGACAACTTACAGTATTTAATGGTTTCAAAGTTGTAAAATTGATTAATACTCTAGTGGCACTAAAGGGCGTCTGTGAATTATTTGTCTAGTAATGTTAAGAATCACTACTATGGGTCTGATATACAGTATGTAATTGATTTATCCGAACAGGTGAGCCTTTGAGTGAAACTATTGAGAGTGCCATTAGTGCTGATCCCCTGGGAAAGCTCATTAAACAACCTAAGGGGTGTGGAGAACAGAATATGATTCATATGACCACCTCTTTTATCGCCACCCACTACTTGGACACCTCTGGGCAGTGGGAAAAATTGGGATTGCACCGTCGGTCTGAGGCAATTAAATACATTAAGTTAGGTAAGAAATTTAGAGCACTGAAAATATCTTTAATTCATTGCTTTTTCTGTTTTTGTTGCAATATTGTCACACAAGACAAAATACACTAATGGCACAATAAGTGATTTTATTACAGTAATAGGTGACACTCTGGCGCAGTGATTAGCATTGCTGCCTCTCCATGCTTGAGCCCTGGGTTCAATTCCTGGCCTATAGTGCTATCTGCATGGAGTCTGCATGTACTCCAGATATCGCATGTGCTTCCTCCAGGTGTTTCCAGTTTCCTGCCACAGTCCAAAGACATATTGGCAGGTTAATTGGTCTCTGAGACTTGTGTCTGTGTCAGCCCTGCAATGGACTGACACCTCATGCAGTGTGTACCTTGCCTTGCGCCCATTGCTTCCTGGGATAGACTCCGGCTCCACCTCAGACCTCTATTGGAAGAAACTGTTGAAAAATGCGTGGATGGATCACAGTAATGAAATACAAGAATAATTTGTGTATGCCTGAGTAAATTTAAGATGGTGTGACTGTGGAACACACCTCCCACTGCACTCCCCGCTCTGCAGCTCGTGGGACTGCGCAGCTACTACACCTGACACTAATCAGGGCTGCATTTTAAGATCCCCACTCGCCCGCAGACGGTGTTCCCAATCCGGCGACACAAACAATTGCTCCGATCTAAAAGAGGATCTGTTCTCCTCATTCAAGAAAGGAATCTCTCCTTTACCGGAGAACAGAAACATCTGCAGACGAGTACACACCGGCACACCCCACAGAAATAACTCTTTCTGCCGGTACTCAGGCAGCTCCTTCTCAGAGCCAACACTTTCACAAGGGTTATTAAGATGGTATGCAGGAATTTCAAACCATGTCAGAGGTTGCTATTACTAAGACATGATCATAATGACCAACATTTGCTTTACTGAGATTTGAGGTGCTCAATATTGGTTAAATGTCTTGCTTTTTACTAATAATTTGAATCTCTTTTTTTTGTTATTTTTGCTTTTTAAGTTTTGCTATTGCTGTTCTTAATTTAAAGTTTAATATTTGGCTATATTTCCAGGTTATACTCAGCAACTAGCCTTCCGCAAAACAGATGGTTCGTTTGCAGCCTGGAAAAATAGACCAAGCAGTACCTGGTATGACTTTTAGCACCAGTTTACTTTGTTTCTCTATATTGTAGTGAAATTAGATTATATAGGCTTTTCAATATTGATACATTTGCACCCATTTGCACCCATTATACTTGCAGGACATTTTACTGTAGCCATGGTACAATTCATAACCCCCAATTGTCATTTATACCTTAGGTTTACTTTTAAAATTGATTTGTAAACCCACTACAAATCATTACAGCTCTCCAACTCACCAGTTTTTATGTTATGAGACAATGGCATACATTAATATGCAAAGGAACAAATAAAGGTTTAATTCCACGCTGAAAAGAAGAAAAGAAACACAAAGTTTTGTCTGTGAAGCTGTGTAATAAACCTTTAATTGTTCCTTTGCAGCCTACTGTTTGCATGCTGATGTAGCTATCTACTTGAATTATTATAAGACATCTTTTTTAAAATCTACCTATTATTATCATTAATTCTTGAACCTTAAAGGTCAAGGACCCTCATCTGTAATTGCTGAGATGAATTTGTGACACAATGAATTCATTACCATGACGCACTATATTTTTCTATGTCCAGGCTAACAGCATATGTGGCCAAAGTTTTTGCAATGGCTTACAGTCTTATTGATATGAATGACAGTGTGCTGTGTGGAGCAATAAAATGGCTGATTCTTAACAAGCAACAGCCTAATGGAATCTTTAAAGAAGATGCCCCAGTTTATCATGGAGAGATGATGGTATGAATAATTTTTAGTAATATGTTTCATTTTAATTTCAGTTAGTAAATATGATATTGTACACTGTTGTAATTGCTCTAATGTGACCTGATTTTTGCAGAATTGACATTTTATTCAAACCCCTTAACAATTCACTTAAATATTCAACTTCTTATAATACAGAAAATGTAGAAAAGCACTGTTAAAAGAATAGTGCTTTTCTTAGAAATAACTACTGTACTGAGAGAAGTTGAAAACAATTAAAATTGAATGCTAGCAGAATGGTTAGCTATTATGTGCATTTTTAAGAAACACTTTTCTGTGTTATGGCTTCCTTTACACTTGCAAACATATCTCTACCCTCTAATTGGGAATATCGAAAAAGATACTCTGTAAAACAAACAAGTCTGAGAGGTCAAAATGTCTCCTCAATTTGGAAATGTTCTTAAGTTCTAACTTTCATGAAAATGTGAAAGATAGCTCTCTTTGTGTCATAGCACTAGAAACTGTCTCCTTATTCGACTGTAATGTCATTACATTACTTTCATTAAAATGATATTTATTCTTTCTCTTGAAAAAATATATTTTTGTTAATATGAAGGGTTTCACAAAGCTCCCAAAACAAAAATACAGTATTATTAAATGAAGGCTGTACTTGATAATTAATTTAGTATTAGTTACTGAGTTTCTGCCTTGACACTGCAGTACAGGTGTACCTTTACTCTGTAATGTTTTAAAAGTTGTGAATTTTAATTTTAAAATTTTAATTTTTCAGGGAGGTGTGAAGGGAAATGATTCAGATGCCTCACTAACAGCTTTTGTCTTGATAGCAATGCAGGAATCAGAGGAAATATGCAATCGACAAATAACTGTGAGTTAAATTATTTAAATTAATTTTCCTGCAGTGGCAGAATTATCTTTCCATATGAATTTACAGTAGTTTGTCTTTTTTAACCATTGTAAATGATTCAGTGTCCTTGTTTCCTTGTTTTAATTTAGTTTTTTTTCTCAAATAAGTTCAAAGCATTATTCTTTATATATATATATCAGAAATTGTATTTAAATGTTACAAGATCAAAGAAAAATATGAATCAGATTGCTCACACAAAACTTTGAGGTCTAGGTTTAGCCCTAAACATTCAGACAGAGTTTATTACTGAAGGTGGAGAACTAAACCCCGGCACAATCAGTTGTTTATAAAATAAAGCCATAGAGCTTCTCTTGTGTTCGTCTCTCTAATCCCTCCTGCATCACTTATTTTCTCAGTCAAATGGTTTAAACATACACAAAGTCATTCAATATTCAAAGTAGCCTAAAGCCCTTGAATCGTTAATATATATTTTATTATTAACACCTCAATATATACTGATGGAAAACAGAAAGACAACATTTTCTGGAATGAAAAACTATAGATGGAGTTTATTTAACTAAAGTTCGGGAGGGATGACAATTTGGGCGCGTCTTTCGCGTTGCACAAGCCCGTACTTTTTCTCTTGCGTTTCAATCGCCCTTGGTCCCGCAGATTTTCTGCTCCAACTAAGAAACTTCGGCAGCACAGAGGATTCCCCTACACTCCTCGACCAGCCTGCCTTCCTACCAGCAGCTCTCATCTCCAGCCAGCTCTCTCAAGACTCAACTCCTCGCTCCAGTTCACATTCTGCAATTATCGCCCCAGCCTCACCATGAAGCCAGCTCTCCTTCCTCCGCAGCGAATTCTCCAAGCAGCCCCTGCCTCATATGTAAACGTTACCACCACAGTCGCGCATATCCACTCCTCCTTTTCAGATTACAGACCTGATGTTGCGATCTGAAGGCTTATGACAGTCCGGTTAAAAGAAAGGCTTCCAAATTTTCCAGCGCCCCCTGCTGACATCATCCGCGCAACCGTTGTCTAGCCCAGACTGGAGACAGCTAGTTGGCTTCTTTCATTAACCCAGTTTTATATGGGTTCATCAATGAAAGGGTTCGCAGCCATTTAAAAACACCCGCTTTCACAACAGAAAGGGGGAGGAAAGAGAACGAAACGTTAATACGCAAAAAAAAATCTAAGCTGCCCATGCCTCTCGTCCATCATCTCGTCCCGCTACACTGCCGTCTGTGTCCCGCCTTCACCAGGCAATGGCAGTCCGATCCTGCAAACCTGCTGTCAACGGCGTCCAAGCCCAAACACACCGTCGGGTACCCATCCTCTTTGGATCACTCATCGGAAGCATATGAATCCAGGGAGAGGCGCTCCAGCTCATTGTCTACCCCCCGGCCGTTGCCCTTGCCCTCCATCTTACACAGCTTTTACAGGGAGCCCTCCTCATCACTCACGACAGCCACCACTGCCTCCTCCCCCAGGACGAACACTGGGAGAGTGCTAGTCAGGCCCACACCCCGCTCTTACCCACCTTCCTCTCTAAACTCGGGCGCCGCCCTGCTACATCTCCACCATCCCCCGCAGCACCCCGCCATCCTGTCCGGCGTCCTACCTCCGGCCCAGCCAGCAGTCGCCCTGTCTCATGTCCCTGCTCCCTGCACCCGGCGTTCAATCTAGCCCTGGGTTCCCCCCTCCGCTGCTACTGCAGCCACCTCCTCGGTGACGCGCCTGCCCACCGTCCTATCTCCGGCCCAGCCAGCAGTTGTCCTGTGTCTTGCGTCCTTGTCCTATTCGTGTTCCGTCCAACCCAACCCTTATGTTTCGTGTCCTTGTCTTGTTGTCCGAATCCTCCAGTGTTCCATGAAGTCGGTCCTTTGTCTCGAAAGCGTGTGTTCCCAAATCCGCGTCTCGTTTTCCCTATCCCCGGCCTCCAATTTGGCCCCGGACCTATTAGATTCATTTCTGCTGCTACCGTGGCCATCTCCTTGCCCCAGGGTCCTATACAGAACGCAGACAGGCACTCCGACTGCCCAACTGCTGCTCAATCTATGCGCCACAGGTCACGCTTTTTTTCCTTCTTCAAGCTCTTCCAAATTCTGTATTGGTGGTTTGGGGTCCCGCTTGGTTCTTTTGGGGGTCCTGGCATCCTCATCCTATGGCCAGGAGGTTGGCCCTCAGCCAAGCGGGTTAAGCCAAATATTCAGTCCACAATAGTTCGCCACGCTTTGATTTTGGGGCGTTGTCATTCCTCATGAAATGGAGTTTATTTAACTAAAGTTTGGGAGGGATGATAACAACCACGCTCATTCATCCCCAGCTCCACCGAATGCTATAAATACCAAATGCGATATCTCCCTCTCCCTCGCGTGTGACTTTTGCATCCCACCTCCACCCCAACTCCACCTCTGCAGCTGCCCCTTGGTTACCTTGCATGGGGGTCCTGGCCTCCTTGTCCTATGGCCAGGAGGTCAGCCCTCAGGCAAGCGGGTTAAGCCAAATATTCACTCCACAATAGTTTGCCACGCTTTGATTTTGGGGCGTTGTCATTCCTCGTGAATTATAGCTTACGTACTTTCACAAAAAGTTGTCAATTTGTTTTAAGACCTCTGACTAGCAATACAGCTTGTGCAGTGAGGCATTGCAACTTGGCAATGACACAAAAGCTTGTTAGGTGCAGGTTACCCAACGAGGTCCAGGTGGAACAATGGCTGATCGGTCACCTTTAAAAAGGCCTTTATTCAAAGATCAGGTCAGTGCAAGAAAAAGGCCACACTTAATCAGTTTTCTGTGCATTCCACAATGCTTCAAATGTCACCAAAAACAATTGAGAGGGCCATTGGCATGTTGCAGGCAGGCATCTCATGTGCTAGTGTTGCCAGACATTATGGAGTGAGCAGCTCCACTGTGTTCCAACTGCAGAGAAGGTTTAAGCAGACCTGCAGGACATATGAATGTCCAAGATCTGGTCACCCTCCAGTGACCACACCAGAGCATCAGACTGGTCCATTTGAGAGATCATTTCAGATCTGCCACCTTTACTGCTGTAGACACAATGCCTGCATCCGTGACAGGACAGTGAGGGTCCATGCTACTGGCCGTAGAGCAAGGCGACCTGTCAAAGGCCCTCTGCTCACACCTCCTAGATGTCACAACCGACTGACTTGGGCCAGACAAAGGCTGGGATGGACTCATCAGCAGTGTCATCAGGTCCTCTTCATGGATGAGTCACTCTTCAGCCTGTTCCGTGCAGACGGGAGGGCCAGAGTGTGGAGGATGAGGTGTTGCGTTTCTTTTTTCCATCAGTATATATACTTCTTTTGTAACACCTTTAATTTGGACTTTTTGTAATATTTTTTTTTCCAGAGCTTGCAAGACAGTAAAGATAAAGCAGTTAGGTTCCTCGACAAGCGCATTGCTACTCTGAAAAATCCCTATGCAGCGGTACTGACAGCCTATGCTTTATCCGTGGAACACAAAAATCACATAGAAACTCTACTGAAATTTGCTTCTGCAGGTTAGTGGTAATTGCTTTTGTTGATCCTGGATACCAAAAATCCAGAGATTTATTGGTTTACAGAAATGTCACTTAGTTCTTTTTTCCAGATCTTGATGAGTTAGAAGGATTTATACTTGTGTTTATTTTAAAGGTTGGTTTGAAACAAACAACTTATTCTAATCATTCAATGGTTTGACATTCCACTAAATCAATTTAAGATATCACAATTCTTTTGTATCTGGTATGTTTATTAACTTATAGAACATATAAAAAGTCTTAATGAATCATTTTCTCAATATTTGTCATAATATGTTGTTATGAGGGTCTCTGTAACAGTTTTTGGAAGCATGGAGTCAAGCTTGACTATTTGACTGGCTCATAGGGGAAATTGTATTGGCCTTATTTCTGGTGTCTGGGCATGCTAATCATGAAGGTTGAACAGCAAAGGGGTGAGAAGAAAGAGTTAGGTACTGTACTTCAGGAATCACAAAACAAAAAAGAAATAGCAGGGTACCCACCTTTTTATAGGGTGAAAAAGCAGGAAAAGATTAACCAGATTGTCTAGAGAGAAATATACACATAAAATTATGCCAAGTTGTTATTGATAAATTAATGGTATAAAGAAATTCAAAGAAGTTAAAAAAAATCCAACACTCAAGTGTTGGCAGCACCCAGCTACAAACACAATTAGTAAACTCTCAATTTCCCTGCAATCACTGCTTTGGTCTTCTTCCTGATACCCTCATCCCCAGGGCCAGACAATCATTTCCTCACACAACCAGGAAAATGCTATACTATTATTATGGAAAACAAACTCCAAACTCTTGAAGCTGATAGGGCTGTCTGAAGCCACACAATTAATGCTAAAAAATGAGACATGCCTAATTTCGGAGAAACCTGTGACTAGAGTTGATCATTTTAGATATTTGACACACAATCTGATTAAATTGTAAGAGGAGAGCAGTCTAAACTGTCAATCCATGTACAAAGGTTACTATAAAATGAGTTGTTCAGCTTTGTCAGTTTTGTTGAACTCAGTTAATACACTATTGTTGAAGTACACTGTATGTATACATTGTATGTACAGTATTTTGGCTCTTTTTTATTTTTTAGACAAAACCCACTGGCCAGTGCCCAGATCTAATCTATTTACCTTGGAAGCTACAGCTTATGCACTTTTGTCCCTGTTGAAATACAAAGACATTGACAAATCTAGAGCTACAGCAAAATGGCTGATTGAGCAAAGGTTCTATGGAGGAGGTTACGGATCTACACAGGTGACAACATTCAGGATTTCTTTTTGACATTGTAGATATGAATACATTTTGTTGTTATCTGTAACTGAAAATATTCCCTAAAAATTGTGTTGCTCTTTTAGGCCACGATCATGGTGTTCCAGGCATTGGCAGAATACATGATACAAGCATCTGTTTTAAATGAAATAGATCTGGATGTAGAAATCTCTCTGTCTGGTCGTAGAAATCCAATTAAGTGGAGGTTTGACACCAGTAATGCCTATGTTAGCAGATCAGAAAGGGTAAGTAATGCAGACTATCTTCTGTCTTAGCATGACTGCTAAGAATTCTGCTGCTGAGTGTATTGCAAAAGTATGCAGTGCGTTCCTTTCCATTTTGAGAAATTACAAATGATCAATGAACATTAATTAATATATTATTAAAAACCTGAACATTCAGACTGAAGACATATAAGTGTAAGATAAGCTACAGTTAAAGCCAGCAAAAACAAAACAGAATCATGTTGAAGACATATGTGTAATCAATGTACAGTACTTGGTGGAATTCTTTCTGTCAACAATTACAGCTGCAAGTCTATTTTGGTAAACGTCTACTAACATTGCTCACCTGGTGCAAATTTTGCCAGTTCTTATTTGTAGATTTGCTTAAGCACTTTCATGTTGGGGATTACTTATGGACACCAGTTGTCAGATTCTCAATAGGATTTAAGTTTTTGGGCAATGGTGGGCATTCACTTTCTTATTCTTAAATCAGCCCATTTTAGCTTTGACCTTTATCTTTGGAATATTGTCATGTTAGAAAGTAAAATTTATTTCCCAGTTTTAGGTCATTACCAGATGGAGGCAGGATTTCTAATACCTGCCAATATTGGCTCCAAAATGGCTCCAGCCATTTTCCCTGATCAAAACAATTCTTACGGATACAAAGCTCCCTATTAACATAATGCTGCTACCACCATGCCTTACAGTAGATGTGATGTTCACTGGCTTATACACTTTACTAGGTTTGTGCCAGTCGCAACAACTTGCATTTTGACAAAAAGAACATTTTTGTCCCCATCTAACCACAAAAAAAGCCTTTAAGTGACACTTTTTGCAGTTTGTTATATTATGTTCATTTGAGGCACTCATGTTTCTTTTTCATTGCTACAGGGCTCAATTAATAATAACTTTACAGTCATTGCTAGAGGAAAAGGCCAGGGCACTTTGTCGGTAAGTGTTTTGATCTGGACTTCACACTTCAGAATTCAAAATATTTCTAGACATAAAAGCTGATAGCTTTTCTGAAAGTACAGAACCGATCAAACCAGAAACTTGATTTTATTTGCTGTGAGCCTTTGCTAGTAGTCTAATATACCTCCTATATTAAAAATAATCATAAGTGAATGGCTATAAGTGAACTATAGACATATGTATCATTATGGCACACTTTTAGGATGTTATTCCTAAAAATGTTGTGTGTGTTTTATTAACATTAGAGACTTGTACAGTTTGTTCCATAAAAGTAACCCTTCAAATCCAAAAAAATAGAAATGGACAAGCTCATGTGCTGTGTCTTATAATTCAAGAAGCCTGTAGGACAGTAAAAGATTTTTCCATAGGACAGACGGCTGATGTACTCTTGTTACTTCTTCTAGTTTTGCATTCATTAAGAATATTGGTTTTGCATTTCTCATTAACTTCAGTTTCACAGATCTGCTTCAGTCTTAAAAGCTGACTGACATGAATGCATTTCTATATCTACACAGGAAATAATTTTTAAATTAGTGAGGAAAGAATCTTTTTTAAACTTGTCTGTACAAAAAATAAAACTTTTAAATGCAATTAAAATTTTAATTATAAATTTAGTTTTTTATTGGAAAATAAATATTTTATTTCCATTATGGCACAAAATAATTATTTTTACGATAACTCAGAACACATTGATGTATTAAATTGTTGTGCCGAACAAAAGGCATCAGCTGAGAGTTTGTGTGTTGAAAGCTGTCTTTATTTCATATGCATGTGGAAGTCTTGCTTTTGAACACAAGACTTAAAAGACAATGCTTACAGTGCTCTTTTATACAGTTAAACAAACGATACAAGATACACTCCCACATGACTCTTTACTTGCATTGTGGCTATATATGGTCATTCTAGAAAGCTGACAAATACATATATATTCTTTACTGCCAGCTTGCGTGACAAGCAGCCCCTTCTGCTGAATAGACCATTTATTCCAGGAGAGGTCACTCGGTCATTTCCCTGAGAACTATGCACCCTATGTGGCTATGTTATTTTTGGAGACCAGACATCCTGGGACAGATTTAGTGAAATATAAGTGAAAAGATATAGTTTTACAAGATATAATACAAACCTTTAGTGAAACATTTTAGTATATGAAGCTAAGCAGGTGTGAGCCTGGTCAGTACCTGGATGGGAGACCTCCTGGGTAAAACTAAGGTTGCTGCTGTAAGAGGTGTTAGTGGGGCCAGCAGGGGGCGCTCACCCTGCGGTCCATGTGGGTCCTAATGCCCCAGTGTAATGACGGGGACACTATACTGTAAACAGGCGCTGTCCTCCGGATGAGATGTAAAACCGAGGTCCTGACTCTCTGTGGTCATTAAAAATCGCAGGGTGTTTCTCGAAAAGAGTAGGGGTGTACCCCGGTGTCCTGGCCAAATTTCCCATCGGCCTTTATCAATCATGGCCTCCTAATAATCCCCTCTTTGAATTGGCTTCATTACTCTGCTCTCCTCCCCACTGATGTATGATGAGCGTTCTGGCGCACTTTGGCTGCCGTTGCATCATCCAGGTGCAGGGGAGTCCCCATTACCTGTAAAGCGCTTTGAGTGGAGTGTCCAGAAAAGTGCTATATAAGTGTAAGCAATTATTATTATTATATTCCCTCAGTATTAACAAGAAAGCCAATTTAAGCATTTTGTCCCTATAATTGAACCTTACAAAAATCTAAAACACATTATATGATATTGTAATGGTAGATTATGAATTAAAGGGTGGTGCAGTGATACACTGATTAACATCGCTGCCTTGCAGCACTGGGTCCCTGGGTTCAGTTCTAGACTTGGCATGCTATCTGTTTGGAGTTTGCATGTTCTTGCTATGTTTGTATGGGTACTTGCCATTTGATCTGATTTCCTACCACAGTCCAAAGACATACCAATAGGTTAATGAGCTTCTTGGAAAATTGGCCCTGTTGTGATAGTGTGTGCATGTCTGTGAGTTTCCTGTGATGGAATCCTGTCCAGGGTGTATTCTCCCTGGCTCCCAACGTGACACCCAAAGAAGGCTCCACAGCCAAAACATTGTGTCACAATGTTGCTAATGAGAATCAGAAGTATACATTTTAAATACATTTTATGCTTTATAGTATACTATAGTATTTTCCTGCAGTACAGTATCTGAAAATGAGTAGCTTCACAAAAGCAAGATTGTGAAAAGCAAGAAGACATATACATCTGCTGCATTGCTTAAGGTAACAACTGACCTGGGTAATGTCACTTCAGAAAGTACAGCTTCCAAATGGCTATTAAAGCAAAAGGACAAAAGTTGAATTTCACACTGTATGTTAAAACCACAAGACATCAGCAAACATGTATTGAAATATAATATGCCTCAGCTGGCAGTAAACAGCCTCATAATTAAGATTGTTAGCCTGAAACAACATTTGGTACTTAATTTAGCAGCTTAATTGAACATCTTAATTGGTCTAACAAGCTGATTGAATTGAACATTTGAAGATATTTTTTTCTTCCCAAAAGCTGGGGATATTTATCAATTGCAGTAATCAAAAGAAAAAAATCTCCAACATGTTTAAAACCTACCTTAAACAGGAAAAAATGTTTGACTCACTTCATCTTACATTTAACTGTTTGTTACTGTTTCTTAGATAATGGCTCTGTATAATGTTCTGCCAGAGGAGAATGGAGAGTGTAAGACCTTTACGTTGGATGTGAAAATCGAGAGGGTGCCAGTCGGTATGTGTTTTAAATAATAACTTCTAATGTCTCTTTTGTTTTTAGGAGGAGGACAAAAAAAAGAGTTTTGTCAATTTTGGCTGAAAGAAATGGGATTAATTAATGAAACTTTGCATAATATTTTGGTGGTAATTAAGACCAAGTAAATATTGTTTTGCTGCATTTTACAGATAGTTTATTAATAATAATACAACAAGTTTAACTGTTAGATATTAAAGAAACACATTCGTTCTTTTTGGGAAGCATAAAGCATTGCTACCTTGAAGCACTGTAGCCCTGGGTTCAATTCCTAGGGTGCTATCTGTATGGAGTTTGAATGTTTGCGTGGGTTTTCTCCTACAGTCCAAAGATATACTAGGGGGTTAATTGGCTTCTCAGAAAATTGGCCCCAGTGTTAACATATGCATGTTTGTGATTGTGTTAGTTGTATTTGAGATTGTGACTCTTAAAATGTTATTGATTTTTTTCTATAAAATAAGAGCTGAATCAATAGAAAATTCTCTTTTTAATTTTACACACTCCTGTAGCATTTTTTTCTGTATCTGCAATTTATGGTCTTAATTGAAAAAGTGGACAATTTTTAACATATTGCTTTATCATGTTTTCTAGTCAGGAGGCCTCTAGGTGCACAAGACACATTTAAAATCACAATTGAAACAAAGTAAGTAAAACTTACTGTTATATCAACATGGTTTATTGGATCTTAATTCCTGCCATTAAACTGCATATTGTTATGTTAGGTTGAAGTTTGTGGTGGTTTTCAAAAACACCAAATGAATCATAAGAAATAAGAAAGTGTTATAAATCATCAAACATTTTAATTCTCTAGCACATTACTGGCCTCACATGTGAAATTAAATAATGTATCTAAGAACATAATTTTCCAAATTAATGATGGATAAAGTTAAAATCAACTAAAAATACAACAGTTTTGCTGTAAAATATTTATTTGTCCAATTATACCTACACATAAGAAATCCAGCTCAAAGCCACATACACAGGCAGAAACATTTAAAATAAACTTCAGGACATAATTTACATTCTTTTACTTTTACTTGTTTTAAATCAAAGTTAATTTTAAATGCTTAAAAAGAACAGGATACAGTTAAAGAATATGATGAATCACCAGCATAGGTATAAAAAGGATATCAGAAAAGCTAAGCGAGAGATAGAAGGTAATATTGAGATTAAAGGGACTAAAATTCAAAATAAAGCCTTATTTTAGTGTTACAACAGGAAAAGTATAGTAAATAATAAAGAAATGTATTTGGGATACTATTGAGAAATGTGTAGAAAGGGATATAGCAGTATTAAAAAATACATTTTTATTAATATTACCATAGTAGCAGGACAAAAGCAGATACTAGAAGCAATTCAGATTAACAATTATTCAGGGCTTGGTGGTATTCTACCAATCATATCTAAGGAAATACTGTATAAAATACTGTATATGTAGATATATAAAATAATGTATGCACATGTATTGATCTCTTGGTAATGGATACGAAACTGTTGTGCCTAATTCATATCAATGATCTATATCCTGGTACAGTTTTTAAATTTAGGAACTATGAAGAAAATACAAAAATGTGTCAAACACTATAGAAGCAGCAATTAAAAATCAAAATAATTTAGACTTCAAGACTCAATCTTCAAGACAGAATCAATTTTTAGATGACATTTATTGTTCAAGACAGGTGCAGCATGATACAGTACATGCAGATGGTAATAAACTGTAGATACAAAATACAAAACACTAAGTTTGACGAAGATAATGAAAAAAATACTATACACGTTTTTCTAAATTAACATCTTTTAGACAATGTGAGGTAGTAAGTAAAAAGGAAAGTAACATTAGAACTTACAGTTAAAAGCATCCCTTGAATTTAAATCAAGGGATGCTATGTTAGAATTGCTATGCACTAATAAGACTCCATTTAGATTACACAAAAGTTGTTGTTACACCATAAATTAAATCTTCTCACTCTGTAATCAGTCTAGAAAGCAGTACTCAAAGGAATATCCTACACACACAAGTTAAAAGACCTTTTTAAATCTTAAGCAGAGAATACTATTAGAGAATCTCATACATGAATTCAAAATAGATACCATATGGATAGCTGTTGATCAGCAGTGAAAGCACTGGAACCCCACAAGGCTGCTGTCTGAGTCCGAGGTTGTACTCCCTATTTACTCACGACTGCACAGCAAGACACAGCAACAACCGCATCATTAAGTTTGCCGATGACACCACTATAATAGGACTGATCAGTAATGATGACGAGTCCACCGACAGGGATGAAGTTGTACAGCTGCTTAGGTGGTGTCATAGCAATAACCTGGACTTGAACATAAAAAAAAAGAAAGAGCTAATAGTGGACTTTTGGAGACACAGGCCATACACTCACAGCCCACTCAGTATTGATGGAACGTAAGTGGAAACAGTCACCTTTAGGTTTTTGGGAATTCACATCTCTAAAGATCTAACCTGGACTGTGAACACTGACTCTATCATTAAGAAGGCTCAGCAGCACCTTTATTTCTTGTGGTGCCTCAAGCAATGGGGGATGCCAATACATATGTTGGTGAACTTCTACCGCTGCACTATCGAGAGCGTCCTCACCAACGGGATCACCGTGTGGTATGGCAACACCTCTTCGCGAGAAATAAAGGCACTGCAGAGAATGGTCAATATGGCCCAGAAGATCATCGGCTGCGGTCTCACCGAGATTAAACAGCTCTATGAGGACTGCTGCCATGGTAGAATTCTGGCCATCACAGAGGACAGTCATCACCCCGGGCATGAGCTCTTCACCCCACTGCCCTCAGGCAAGAGATATAAGAGCATACGGACACTTACCACTAGATTCTTCAATAGCTTCTATCCACAAGCAGTGAGACTGGCGAACACATTTAGCCATCCCCCTCGGACCACACCTACACCATCACCATCTACCTCTTTATGATTTCTTATCTATTGCACATCTCCAGTCATTGTTTACACGTCTGTATTGTTTACATTCAAACTGTCTACATGTTTACTTGCACATTGTCTATTGTTTTTTTGTACATTGTCTTGATGCACTGTTTGCACTTTGTTTTGTTTTTTACACTTGTTTTACAATCGAGAGACTTTCTGTAAGTAAGAATTCCATTGTACCAGTACCGGTTACATATGGCAATAAAGTTCAAGTTCAAGTGAAACATGAACCAGACCACATTGATGTGCATTTAATACTTAAGAACAGGAGGGTTGTAGGAATTTTGAACAAGCTGTCCAGTCATGTTGTTGAAGCTGTTACCCTGACTAAATGAGCCTTTCTTACATTGGCATCCTTGATGTATCCACTCAGTTGTTTTTATTAATAAGTGTACTGGAAACCTAAATGTCTTTTCAGATATTTAAGTGACAGAGATGCAACCATGTCCATACTCGACATTACCATGCTAAGTGGATTTATCCCTGATGCAGGTGATCTTAAAAGGGTAATATGAAGACTATTTTGAAAATTCCTAAGTAACATTTGCAGGAGTTTTGTTAATTTTCATTATAATCTTGTATTTTTATTTCAATAGTTATCCAATGGAGTGGACCAGTACATTCAGAAGTACGAGATGGATAAAGCACTGTCTGATAAAGGCTCCCTCATACTTTACCTAGACAAGGTATATTCTTGATTTCCAATAAACAAATCATTCTTGATTTGATAAACAAATTACAGAAGGTTTTACAAGTGCAAAACATTTCCAGTAATAAGATAGCATTAATTTTATTTTTGTAGACAAATTATTACATATTATTGTACATTTTTTGTACACTTATTGTAGAATACTAAGGGCATACTGTATATTCAATATATACAAGAGTAGCTGGCTCATACTGTATATAATTCTGCTGGGTCTGCTATTAACTGTTGATTATAGGTGTAACTGAGCTACGGTTTCTGCAGTCAGAGTACAGAGCACCATCATCACACCTTGAAACTCACCAAAAGGAGGAAAATTCTATATCGCTCACAGGAGATGTGCCTTGTGCACCACTAAGCACATGTCTCCATGTCCAGCTGGGGAGTCAGTTGGAAAAAGGAATGTGGCACTCTTGTAGTGCCAACTTGCGGAGAGCTTCTACACTCCCCGTATCTCCACCTGAGACCTGTTTATCTGCTTTATAGTATTACTACTACTACTACTACTACTACTACTACTACTACTACTACTACTA